TCAGATGCTGAATCGTTCGCAGGGACGCTGGACCCGTTTTCCAGCAGGCGTTGCTCCCCGCCAATAGATTGGAGCAATCAGCCTACTCGCCAGAAGGTTGTACTCTTATCTGGTTTTCCTGAAGAAGAGAAAATATAAAAATAAAGAATCAGTCCTGGCGGCCCAGTGCCCGAAAGTGGTCCAATGCTGGGCCTGAGAGGCCCGAGTTCGGTGCATGCCACAGACCGTGTGTGTTTGAGTAACTGTGTGTATGCCTGCCTAACCCTTACCCTGCCACCCCATGTCAGAAACTGTGAGCACCATGACCGAAATGCAGCATATCCCTTGTCAGACAGCAACGTGAGGGTAATCAGCATAGCAAAAGACTAGGATAACAGAGCACAGCACAGCATGCCATGCATAGCACGGAACCGACTGACGCTTGACAGCATACCACAGCAACAACACGCCTCCCTGGATGGATGCAGTGTCCATGAAGAACATCACTCCATGGATGAAGTGTCCATGAAGAACATCACACCATGGATCCCACACTCACAAAGTATAGCATCCTAACTTCCTAAGCATTATCTGTGTCATCTCTTTCTCTGCCGGTGGAGCTGTATCTGGTTTATCATATAGCTGCATGAGGACCAGATAGTTTGGTMCYTATGAACCAACTTCTTAGCCCACACAAGGCTTATCAGTGATCTCTCATCCAAGCCGCCRCCTTCACACATGAGAGCATAATTGGCCCAGTAGTATGCAGTAGCAGTAGATCACTTTGGCAAGGAAACAGAGCTGGAGTTGCTTCCAAATTAATGCTGCAAAAATGTTCAATTGCCGGGTTGCACCCTGCGCAGCAATGGAATGGAAAATTCAAAAAATGCACCCAATTTTCAAGATCAAGAAAACACAGGGAGAGGTGGAAGGGGGGGTCAAGGTGCGGAGGGTGGTTGAGGGAAGAGAAATAGTGTGCCACTCAGGTCCAACATCCCTAGCCCCACAGAAAGAGCCTGAGTGTGACTTTGGTAGTGGTGCAGGGGATACACTGAGCAGGACAAATCAAACAAGTCTTCACATAATGTCAGTACAAGTCTGCCAGGTTCATCGATCTCTCAACTGCACGTGTCCATGACACATATCTTTTCTGCCGTTGCTCATCAGAAATATGTGGTTGAAACACTGCAACACTGCTCTCGCCCACTTCCTTGTTGCTTTTGTTTGTACTCATGCTAGACTTCGCCCCAGTGTCATTTTTGCTCTGAACGATGTTTTCATGGTGATGCAGAGCCCCTGAAGCAAAAACCTGATCCTCTGTCCACATGCCTACAGAAATTCYGGCTGCTATGGCTGCCCCCAGGGCTGTGGTCTCTGGATCTTTTGGTCTGAGAACCGAGCAGCCAAGCAGATCGGCTTGCAGTTGCATGAGCAGGTTGTTTTGCGACGCACCTCCATCCACCCTCAACATAAAAGGTTCCTSCTCGTCCTCCTCTTCTGTCTCCTCCTCTTTCTCCTTCTTCTCCTTCCTCTTGTCAGTAAGAGCACTTTTCCTTCGCCCGAGGTCTTCCCGCATAGCATCCACTACAGCTCTCACCTGATAACAAATGCCCTCAAGCACAGCCCTGGCAATATGTGCCTTGGTAGAGTACCTCGTCAAGCCTACACAGACTCCTCGTGCATCCTCCCGCCACCACGGGGCAAACAAACCACTGAAAGCAGGTACAAAATATACACCCCCTGTGTTTGCTACAGAGTTGGCGAGGGCCTCCACATCGGAGGCCTTGGTTATTATGCCTAGGTTGTCCCTTAGCCATTGCACAGCTGAACCAGCAATAGCTATCGAGCCTTCTAAAGCATACTGCGGTGTTGCCTTCGGGCCCAACTTGAAACCCATGGTGGTAAGCAAGCCATGTCTGGATGAGACAACGGACTCCCCGGTGTTTAACAAGATGAAGCATCCGGTTCCGTAAGTGCTCTTGGCTTCACCTTTTGTGCACAACTGACCTAACAGAGCAGCATGCTGATCACCCAAGCAACCCCCCAAAGGTACTCCTTCCAGAGGCCACCCCTTTCCTACCACTCCATAGACCTGTGCATTGCTCACTATCTTCGGCAGCATGCCCATTGGAATACCCAGTGCGTCTGCTATTCCTGCATCCCACGTCATCTTTCTCAAATCCATCAACATTGTTCTTGATGCATTTGAGCAATCTGTCACATGAACCCCTTCTCCTCCCCTTCCCTCTCCTCCCCCTCCTCCGCTGGTACTACTACGAATCGCATCGGCAACAACAAAAACTGTTCTCTTAGGTTTTGAAGGAGATGACGGTGGAGATGACGGTGGAGATGACGGCGGAGATGACGGCGGTGACACCAACGTGTCGTATGCAGGTAAACGGCGGGTTAAATTCCATATTAGCCAAGAATCAATGGTGCCAAACAATGCATCACCAGCATCTGCCAAAGACTTTACCTCCCTCACATTCGTCAACAACCACTTCAGCTTAACCGCACTGAAGTATGAGGTGATTGGCAATCCAGTTATGGGTCTGAAATGCTCCTTCCCTCCTTCCAACTCTTGCTCGAGCGTTTTGCAAATGGCACTTGTTCGAATGTCCATCCACACAATGGCATTGTGCAGGGGTCTTCCAGTGGAYCGACTCCATGTTACTGTCGTCTCCCTCTGATTTGTTATACCAMTGCTGCGTACTCGCCCGTCCACGYGCAGCCCTTTCAATCGAGCTTTTGCCATGGCTTGCTCCATACATATGYGTGTGTTCTTAATGATCTCCACTGGATCATGTTCCACCCAGCCAGCTCTCGGGCAGATCTGTTTGTGCTCAAGCTGATGGGAAGCCACGGCCTTCCTGGACTCATCATACAGAATGAAACGTGTGCTTGTTGTTCCTTGGTCAATGGCTCCAACAAAAAATGAGGAACGTCGAGAAGCAGGAGAAGGAGAAGACGCCATACCTGCACATATATCTTGTCAGCAGCCAGGCAGGTAGCTGGAAAACTGGAGGCACAATTTTCCAGCCAATCCCACACCTAGCCAGAGGGGGAGGAAAAGCTTCAGCAGGCTGCAGACCAGAAAAGGAAAACGAAAGAACAGCTGGATAAAGGCAACTACACCGGGTACACCCGAAATGGAAGGTTCGAGTCTTGTCAACTTTGTAACAAGAGTTCACTGAGTCGCAGTGCTCTGAGTCATGTCACGGTTAGCAATTTACCTCAGTAATTAAGGGCTCTGGACTGCAAAGGCCGAAATTGGGAAGAGTGAGGGTGTGCTTGTGACCTTCTTTAAAGACTTACCATGGGAGGAGGAATTGGACTGAGGGTTACCAGGACAAGAGCCATAGCCATGAGGCTTCCGCTTTATCTCTTTCAGGCGGGGGTGGGCGAGGGGGGCCAGAAAGAAAAAGAAAGGGCAAATTGCAGAAATACCGATTCCGAGAAGTATCGTAGCAAAAATACCGGTCCGCCCTTGTATTGTCACAAATATGCCAGTTGCAGAAACACCTTTTTTCAAAAGTTTCTATGCAGATTTACCGGGCGGGTCTTTTTTTTTGCAGCAAATACACCGGCGGTACCTCCTTTTGCAACAGAGGACCCGCCTGCCTTGGAGTGCTTGCCTCAGGCCGGGCGTACAGGGTCTCTGTCACGAAAGGAGGACCTGGGTAAATCTGCTCCAAAACTTAGCGAAAACGGTATTTCTGCAACTTTCCAGGTTTATTTGTGGCCATACAGAGGTGGACCGGTATTTTTTTTACAATACTTATCGGAACCGGTATTTCTGCAATTTGCCCAAAAAGAAAAGAAATGGTCTTACTTATGTACGATGAAGTCTAAACCTGCCTTTGGCATAAGCCCTTCTGCCGAACCACCAATTTGGACTTATGTTCAGAGACTAAGGTTTGCATAGGCTTGGATCAGCAAAATGAAGCCAGAAGGAAGAAGAAAGAAGAGAAAACAGGTGAGCAGGATCGACTGGTAAAACGGCACTATCAACAAGATGGCAAAATAATGCTACGATGATTGAAAAAAAAAGGATGATAGCAAGACCAACAAAGTGGCATAGGACAATGAGCCACTGTGGCTATTTTCACACGAAGTTACTGGAGCAACCTAGCCTTGCTAAGATAGCAGCAGAGTGATATTCCTTTTACCTGGAGCAGGAGTGTGGGTGATTGTTTGCCAATTTGCCTTTTTTAATATAGTGTGAGTGTGAGTTGAGCGGACACATGTGTGGACGCTTCCCGCTCTACCACAAAGAGGTGGGGAACCTTGCCCTGTTATAATTTGGTTCAATTCTCGTATATTTCTCTTCTCCATCTATCATTGTTTACTTTGTGTATGAAGTACTATGCACCCTTAGTCAGTGGACTGTGGGATTATGTGTGCTCGATATAATCCATACGGTAAAATGACATAATATACCACGGCCTCATGGGTGTTCACGCCATCTATTTGAATAAGAGAGGTGTTCGCGTACTGATTCAATTTCGATCTCCTGTATCCGATGATAATTCCCCGCACATACAGCCAGATGTGCCGACCCTTGGCGAGCACCATCTTCGCTGGCATTCGCTACTAGTAGGCGCCGCCAAGCCTGACAGAGAACAATGGACAAGCTGCCACATCCAAAAGGTCGGAAAGGCAAAGACGAAGACGAAGACGTCTTGCATGCGTCTACAAGGTGAAGACAAAGACAAACAAGAATGACTCAAAGTACCGCCGTATCTGGGGCAAGGTTTGCAGGTCTCACGGCAGCACAGGTGTCCTCCGTGCAAGATTTAAGAGCGATCTGCCACCCAAATCTATGGGAGTCATGATGTACCCTAGCCGGATCCAGAAAGGGAGTTCATTTTTTCGGCTTCAACTACCGTCTTCACCCGAATAGAACGCCCGGCAGGGTAACCGGCGTTCGGGACGGGCCGAACGCCCGAACGTATGGGACCCCTTGGGGATGCGTTCGGCCGTTCGGGCCGAACGCGGACCCAAAAAAAAAAAAAAAAAAA